TCTTTACAATTTCAAAATCTTTGGTAAAGTGCTCCTTCTGTTTATTAATTTTAGCCCTAGATTCATTGAATTGTCTTTCTGATTTTCCTGGCTTCTCATTGAATTCCTTCAGAAAAGCTATTTTGAATTTTCCATCCCAATTTCCATGACTTTTGGACTTTTGGGGTTTGGATACTGGAGATTTGTCTTCTTTATCATGATACCTTATTACTGTAAATTTTTTTCATGGTGTTTGATGAGACATGCCTCTGCCAGCACATTTGAAGTAGTGAACACTCTTCTTACTTAGGTAAAGCTTTGTTGATTTTGATTTTAACAGTTCAACAGGTTGGGAATGAGAGGTCTTCCTTTTGTTTTCCAGCAGGGGATGAGAGCACACGTTCTTGGTCTCTACTACCTGAGCTGCCCAGTTGCTATATTCAGGAGCTAAAGTTTCTACCCCCAACCCTGCTCTGCCAGAGGGGCCTGGTGCTGTGGTCGATGCTTGTGCCACAGGGGTCACCAGGGCCATTACCCCTGCCAGGGTCACGGGCTTTGTGCCTGCTCCTGGAACCACTGGGGTCACACACGCATCTGCCCTGGACCCACCACTGATCTCCCTGTGCCTCACCTCCATGAGGTCCAGTCCATCCACCTTTGGATTTATGGACCGAAGCATTTCTCTTCGGTTCCCTGTGCTGGGCAGGTTATGGATGCTGTGCAGGTTTGTTTGTTGGGTTACGTACGTCCTACTAGTTATAAATGGAAGGGATCAGACAAAGGGAGGGACTCATGCTGCCATGATATTGATATCACTCTTAAGGGGACTTCTAACAAGTAACTTAAATGAAATAAGACTTGCATTTTGTTGTCCTAAGATTTGAAAAAGAAATAAATAATTATTCTTCAATCTCAAGTCTCTAAATCTATTCTGGATGAATAAAGACCTTCAGAAAAGTAAAGCCTGTAAATGGATGTGATGGAGTAGAATGTGATTGAAAAAAATAATAATGACAACAAAAAATAATAAATAGATATAAACAAATAAATAAATAAATAACACTAAAAACTAGCCCCAAATTTCCCACTGATAGAACTATTCAGAAAAAAATGTTAATTAATAGAACTTGAAGCAGTAGATATAATCCTCTTAAAATCTTGCATATTTTCACCCAAATATATTCAATTAATTTGCATCTAAAATAGTAACCTCTGAATGGTGTGCATGTGTATGGATGGACATGTTGCAAATACACATGTGCAATCAAGGAGACCTGCTGCTGCTTTGTTGAGAGAGGAATTAGTGAAATGGAACACGTCTGGGGAATGCTGAGAGCAAGTAGTAAGCATGTATCCCTGAAAATTTAGCAGCATCCTGGCTAGAGAAAGCAATATAATTTTTCCTCAATTAATTAAACATTATTATAAATTATCTTTTACATCAAAGAAGACATTTGCCTCATGGTCTGTTGAACAACTTCTTTAAGAAAATTAAGCTTATTAAGTTTTCTTAATTCCTATGAAATTAATTCACATTTTAAGCTGCAAAAATTCTCATATTTTTCTGTAGAAGTTTTCCAATATAAAACAAAATGTGCCTTTATTGTCTAGCAAACATATTCTAATTTTCACCACTGCAGAATATACATAAAAATCATGATCAAAATTATTCGTTGTTTATGAGGTAATTTAACCACTGCTAATAAATTTTTGTGTCTCCTTTGCATAGATTGAATTTTCTTAGTAGGAATTAATCTATGTTGAGATTTTCTCCAGAATTAAAAATTAAATCCTGTTTTGCAAACTACAGACTGCTATTTCTCATTAGTACAATTCAGAATCAGTCTGCATATGGTAGTCTAACTGCAAATGATTCATAATTTAAGCAAATATCAGATTCTTCAGAACTTAATGTTTCATCACTAGAATTTTATAATTGCTGGTTGTAATAAGGTAGAATTTCTTTGAAAATCAAATGTACATTTGTTGGCAGTTATATTAGCAAATTAGCCAGTTGTCTAAATTTTACTGTAACACCTGAAGAAATAAAAAAAAAACAATCAGTAAGCATTTCAACCACCCCCACTGAATGAAGTTTCCTTGTAACTATTAACCACTAAGAGGGAGAGAGGTTGCTTATGTTGTGATTATTTGCATATAATTTCAGTAAATATTCTTGAACACTTTAGGTGTTATTTGCTTGCCATGATGATTCCTATTTATCCTGTTTTTTTCCCTTATGTTTTGGTGGCATACTGACATTGTATAATAGAATCTGTATTCCATTTACCTTGTTTCTATATTTCATAAGGCATTTGTTTGTTTGTTTATCTAGAGCCTTCAAAATACTCTTCAAAGTACAGTCCATGAGCCAGAGGATTAGCATAACCTGAAAGCTTCTTAGGAACACAGAATCTCAGGCCCACTGGGTCAGAATCTGTTCTTTAACATGATCCCCAGGGGACTAGTGTGCACATTGTAAAGAAGCACTATCTTTGAGCACAAAACTCCACATGGATATTACTGGACCTTGTAACATGAACAGTCAATACGGAACCTTGGAACTGTTGTGGCTGCATTTTTTAAATGAAAGAAAAGAATTCTATCCAAAGTATTGTGTTAACTTAAAAAGCTATGTTGATGTTGGCAAACTTACATCCCTTAAATGTCTTTTCAATAAATAATACTCAAGTGAACAAACCAATTTTAAGGCTAGTAGGACATGAAAATTCTTATGCCAAGCATCATTTATAGTGTTTGACAGAATCTCCATTCAATCAACAGTGCCAGGCACTGTGAGTGTGGAAAAGGGCAAGGAGAGAAAAATGTGAAAGTACCGTCACTGCCCTCAGTAGATTGGGATCTGGTGGCAGATATGGACCAAGCAGGTGTTTATACAATTAAAATTTTAAATCACAACCAGTTTGAGCAAACGTAGTGAGATACATTATTCTGATAAATGAATCGTTTATCCAATGTTTGCATGTACACTGTGTCAGGGAGAATTTGGCTCATCATATCAAGATTACAAAGAGAAAGAAACAATGGAAAGATGGCTGCTGTTACTGTCATTGCTGTTTTATCTCCTAACCAGACTCCAGAGAGTAAAAACTGAAGCCTGTTGAGGGGGGCAGATCACAGAAATTATACCACCTCAATAGATTGAAAAAAAAATGGGTAAAGAGTGCCTCCAACAGTCTTCAGATGGGAAAGAGTTAGGAGGTAGACAAGATGTGTAATCTTAGGGAGACAGGTAAGAGGCCTGGACAGGACAGCAAGGCAAGGGAAGAGGTCAGTGTAAGAATCATGGGTGCACCACTCACGGGCCAGGAAACCTGGCAGCTGACGAGCTTCCTACTGTTAGGTGAGGCCCCTTCATCAACAGCTACCTGTAAGTGACCCTAGGCTTTGGTGAGCAGCATGCTGACATTTCCCTTTTTAATGGTCTGGTCCCACCACATTACCATGAAAACAAACAAGAAAATAAATGCAGACAACAAAAACAAAATAAACAGAAAAGGATAAATTGCTTCATACCCAGGGCAGTGGGCCAGCAAAGTGGGCACAGGAGAGCCACACACCTGGTTCTGAGGTGGGACTACACAATGTGGGTGTTCAGTATGTGCCAGGCACTGGGTACCGTACTGCATTTTATACTCATGACAACCCTATGATGTAGGTGTTATTAGTATGAGCCTCATTTAACAATGAAAAAAAAAACATGTTCATAAAAGTGAGGTCATTTGCTAAAGAATTCAAACATAGTGAATGGCAGACTCAAGCTCTGATTCCATAACTGTGCTTTCAACCTCTATGGTATACAAGTAAATCATAAGAGACAGACCCACATTACTCTTGAGAAGTTAACACAGAGAAATTATTAAATTGCAACTTGGGGAGACAAGACGAAGCATGCTGGGATAGGTGGAATCTTTTCTGTCTTCAGGATAAGGATGAGGCCACTAAGGCAGAGACAGGGCATGCCAGTCAACAGATCAGCAAGAACACCAGCTCCAGGGTAGGCCACAGCCGGGAGCCTGGGGCTGCAGAGTGGAGTGCATGAGCATCCAGTGTCGCTGCAGCTGATGCAACCGGTGAGGGAGTTTCAAGTGACAGGGCTCAAGACATGAGGGCCAGGGGTCTAATTTATAGTGTGTTAACTACTGTGGACTTTAAACATTTCAGAATAGATATGAACTGCAGGCTTTTACCCAGGAAAGTCAAACAGATGATGATTAACTGTTTCAAATAAAGTAATATAACTTAAGAGCCATAATAATTAAACTATGATGTTAGGGATTAATATGATTATAAATAGCACATTTTGTATAGACTTTAATTCACCACTGAGCAGTTACATTATTTGATGCTCCCATCCCATCCCTGCCTCCGAAGCGTACTTTCCCACGGCTAGCCTAATACTTGGTACATTATAAGATACACTGATTGGATGAGAGAAAAATACTAAATGTTCAATGTGTTTGAACAGTTGTTCTTTTCAGAAAAGAAACATAAATGGCCATAAACATATGATAATGTGTTTACATGTTAAGAGAAATATAAATACAAACTAAATGTGATGTAGGATCCTCTTCTACCCTATCAGATGGCAAAAGTCAGAAAGATATGCCTTGCTGGTGGCCAGTTTGACAAAAAACTGTCTACATTTAAAACTCATATTTCCTTCAAACCAGTGATTCTACTTCTAAGAATTTGTTCTGCAGGTACACTAAATAGGTGTGAAATAACACATATTCACAAATCTTCATTTAATTATTGGATGATGACGACTCTGTCTGGCCATATGTTCATCCCCTTGCTTTCTGGTTTCCTCTGTTTTTTCTTTTTTTAATTCTCTCATCTTGTTGTAGCAAAGACTTCAGTATATTCCCAGGATAGATAGAATCTATGTATTTTTTATTCTTTACATGCTTTAAAGACCTTTATTCTACTCCCACAATTATATTAATTTGACTGGGTATAGAATTCTAGGTTGTGAATAATTGTCCTTTGTCTTTCAGTTTCCAGAGCCAAAATTGGGAAGCCTAAAGACTTGGAGGTATGTTTCTCTCTTCTAAAAAAGTTTAAAACATTCCACTTTCTTCCTTACATTCTGGGGAAACTTCACAGTGATGTGCTGTGCTGTTTTGTTTTATTATGTTCATTTCATGTGTCAGTATTCAGTGAGCCCTTTCAATCTGAAAACTTTGGTCCCGGGGAATGCTGTCGTGCTGTTTCCTTAACAGATTCCGCCCCTCAGTGATCTCTGTCCGTTCTGCCAGAGCTTTCAGTTGCATAATAAACAACCCGGAATGATTTAATGGTCTCATTTCTTTTTCTTGTTACTAGTAATACCACACTGTTCTAAGCAGGTTACATTTATGAACTCACTTAATTGTCATAACAATACTATAAAGAATATTTACTGCTATCTCTTTGTACAGATAAGGGAACTGAGGAAGGGAGATGGTAGAGAAAGAGCCTAAAGTTGCACAGCTAGTACGTAGAACAGCTACCCTCTTAACCATTTCTCATCTTGGTGGAGAAATTGCTTCAGCTTGCTTTAAAAACCGTCAGCTGATTTTTTTCTATACTATTGCATTAATTTCTAGAAGTTCTCTCCGGTTGTTTCATTGTATCTTTTGTGTAATGACTTGTTCTTTTTTCATATATGCCATATCTTTATTTGTTTTTAAAGTTCATCATAGATTTTGGAATGTCTGCCTCCTGTGAATTACATGTTCTCACTTTTTTCACTTTGTTTTTGCCTCTTTCTTTCACATTAAATTTTCTTCAATTGTCCAGTGATAGTGAGTGAAGCACCAAAGACATAGGGGCAGTTTTGTGTTTAAGGACAAGACTTTTTGACTGATGATCCCCAATCTGGGGTAGCAGTTCCTAACGGTGGCTGCGGGGTGCCTTAAAAAATACTTGTATTTCAGCCTCTCCCAAATATTTTGATTTAATTGATTTGAGGTGAGACACGGTCATGAGACTACTTAAGATCTCCCCCAGGAGATTCCCCTAGGCTGGCAAGATTGAAAATAACTCATCTTGGAGGGACTCAGTATCATCCTGAGCCAGTTATTTTATTCAGGGGAGAAATCTTTACAATCTCCTTGGATTGGAGAATGAGATGAGGCAGAGGACAAGCAAAGCAATAAGAAAAGCTGACTACATCCAAGGAAGGAAGATGGGGAAAGCAGTAAAATTATATTATGTGAATAAATTTATTAAATGTGCTTTTAATATTAAGTCACACCTCTACCCATGAGAGTGTGCCCCAAGTGCAGAAGCCCTGTAATTCCACCTCTCTGGAAAGTAAAATTCAAATCTTCTGCCAGTGGGAAAGATGGGATCACTTGAGTGTGGGGAGTTGGGGAGAGGAATCTGGAGAGTTTAAAACATACCATGAGCCCCAGTTTCAGCCCTGACTTGTACCCTTGCTTGTTTAGGTACCTGATCATTCAAACTTCAGCCTTTCTGTCATTTTTACTTCATTAGAGGAGAATTGTTTGTTTCTATGTTCCCCCCAACCATCTACCAGACAAATAGATTTCTCTTCTGAGTTGAATCAATCACCATGCATCATCTGCTTTCCAGGTTCTAGAAAGCTGACTTCATCTGTCAGCTCATCTCTCTCTGCCATTCTTTTTTCTCAGTGTACTTTTCCTCTTTGATAAAACTTTTAAAGGTTTTAGATGAAATCAAAATACTTAATCATAAATTTCTCTCTCACTGGTTCTAAATTCAACTAAGGTGATTGATGAAGAAATTAACCTAAAAGCCACCAAATAATGTCAAAATATGGAGGAAGAAAGCAAGAGGTCTTGAGAAACCTTGTTCATATTTCACCTTGTTGTTATTTCCTATGTAAGCCACAGGAAAAGATTTTAAGGAGCTATAGTTCCAATAACGTGAGTGCATGGATGCCCGCTGTGCCCTGGGCTAGTAGTTCTTCCAGGTGACAGCACACTATTTTGTGAATCCTCAGTTGAAGATATTTATTTGCCTGTTTGTCCCAACCTCTTACCAACCTGTGTATTTCTCATTTTGTTTGAAATGGCTAATATAGAATATGATACCTAGTGGATGGCAATTAATTTCTGACAGAGAAAAGAAGGAAGGAAGGAGGGGAAATAGGAGAGACTGAAGAGGGAAAGGTGATACCTCTTCTCAGTGACTTATGTGAGATCTAAAGACACCTGAACAAGGGCACCACAGGTGGATTTAACCCACAGTTATTGAGGGTCTGATACATGCACATCACTAGACCATGCACTTTACATGTATTCTCTTTTAAATTGCTTGATAATCCTAATAGGTAGGATTACCATATCATGGAGAAAACTGAGGATCTGAGAGGACAAATAAGATGTCCAAGTGCACAAAGTCAAACTGGGCTTGGAATATACTGATTTTTGTGACCCACCTCCTCAATCCCATCCCCTGAAGATCTGTGCTTATAACACAATGCTACCTCAACTCATGAATAAGGAATAAAACTCAATTTAATATGATTGTCTCTCCTTCATAGGCAGAGTCATCCAGCACATGAAGAATGTGGCCACCATATGGAGATCAGCTTGTGGAAAGGGGATTCGCATCATTTGCAGGTCCATTTGTCCCTCGGTTCATTTTTAATGACACTCACATACAGACCAGATCTACTCAAATATCACAGCTCTGTAGGAACAAACTCTATCCAACCTGAATGCCTTCTACTATAATTTAAACTCATTTATTCTTCCTTTATCCTCAGGAGAAAAGGGAAATATCTCATAATCTTCTTTCTTTTAATAAGACTGCCACACTTTGGAAAAAATTGTAATTTATAGTGTCTCTTACAAAGGAGGAAAGAAAAATCTCACTATATTCAGCCTTGACCAGTCTCTTATCATTTATGTATTCATTCTTTATTAGATTTATATAGTATCTTTCCCCTGAAGAGCTCAGGGAGGTTCTTTGCGAGAAGTTTTAAGCAGCAAACATTATTTTGACATAATGAGCCTGGCTCTGTCTCCTGCGGAAGGCAGGCAGATGATCACGAACAAACCAAGCCCGATTTATAAATGCAAAGCGCGGTAGGAAGGAGCAGGACTGCGAGCAGCGTCAGAAGGGCGTTTCCACCAAAAGGCGTTCATGTGACGGAGAAACATCAGCTTTTCATTCCCAAGAAGCTCACCTCTTGCCGTGTGTAAGGAAAGAATGTGGATGGGGAGGTCCCATGGGTGGGAAAAAGCAGTCCTGGATGGGAGAGTGAAGACCACAGAAGTGACGAGGGGTACAGGCGGCTCCTTCTGTAAAGAGTTAAGAGAGGAAGTGAATGTGCGAGGGGAGTCAACTCAATAACCTTCAAAGGGGAACCAGCAAGTAGGGGATCATAGGGGACCCTGAACCTTGAAGTTACCCCTGCCTTTGTCCATGACGTCCATACAGTCGTCCCTAGCCCATCGTGTTCATCGTGTGTCACCAGCACAGCCAGGAACTTTCAGACACGAAGACAAGTCTGAAGAATGAGAGAATCAGGGTTGGCATATGGTGAACACTACCTAAGTCTCTACTCTGACAGATAGGAATATAACAAATGTGTGGGTCCAAAGAATATTTGCAAACAGCTCCATTTTGTGTGTCAATGGCTGTTCTTCTGTGTGGGCCATTTCTTATCCAGTAGGGAATATAGTGAGTGGCAGCTGCTTTATTACTGATTGAAAACTGGTTAATGATGTATGACAGCTTAGCATAACAGAGAGGTGAGTAAATTTGAGGAGGGCCAGGTTGATCAGCAGAGTGATTTAAATGTTAGAAAATAGGATTTAGGATGAGAGGCTAAGGGAATTGGGGTTATTTATCCTGGGGAAGACTTTGGGAGGCTGTTACACAGCAAGCAAAAGCCAGCTGTTCTCCATTTTAAAAGACTAATCCATGTAATGAAATGCAGAGGGTGATGTTAGAATAAATTCACCAAGGGACTGAGGATTTTTTAAATATACATTTATGTTATGACTTTGGGGAACTTTCAAATATAAGTTATAGTAGAGAATTATAGTTGAAATCACAGTGGAAATAGCTATAATTAGGTATTTGGGAATACATATGTGGGCTTAAATCTAATTTTAGTCAAAACACAAAATACACAAACAAACCTCAATACCCTAGTTGTATGTGCAGGCTTCATTTAATAAGTTTGTTGTATACTCCTTATTTCCAAGATAATTATTTTAACTCAGTAAAATTTTCATTCAGATATGATTTGCCATAGGGTTTTTCCAGGGAAATAAACTAATTTGAACTTTATGGGTAAAAGGAATATTGCAAAATAATTAATATCAAAGTTTTACATAATCTTAGTTCAATAGTGAAAGTACTAGGATTTGATGATATGGTATAATCCTTTTACTTTCATCTCACTTTATGTAATTTACTTTACAAAACATGTCAATTGTATCACATTATGGATACATTAAAATAAATTATGACTCAAAAAATATTGTTTTATGAACCTCGTAGAGAATTACTTTGCAACCTAAAAAATAATCTTCATATGGACAATTCTGAAGCCATGTATTCAGTGACTCTTTTAGACTCGAATAGACTTATGCGAGGTACATATATCATAATTTTACTCACAGGATGAATGTTTGCCTTAGTCACTGTCTTTATAGGACTTTTTCTCACTGATGGCTCAGAATTTGGAGAGGGAAAGCATACCTTGTTATACATGTGCTGAAAATATTTAATCTCATATACGGGGTGTGTACTGTGTATAAGCACTGTAGATGCATTGTTTCTATTTCTCACAACTGTTATTAAAGCGAGCACGATTGCAGTGATTTTCCAGGCAGAGAAGCTTACCTTAGATTGCACCACTAGCAGGTGGCATTGCTGACTTCCTATCCAAAGACTCTAGAACATACCCACCACTTTCAAATGTGTTTATGAAAATTAATTGACTACACATAAAAGTCACTGTAATCTGGAAGGCTTAAATATTATATTTTATGAACACAGGGTTCAAATTTTAAACAAAATATTTAGAGCTGGTACAGCACAGTGGCTAAGACTATAAGCTTTGAGATTCAAATATTGGCCCCAAATGTTTGCCATCTCCAAAGTAGCTTCATTTGTCCCCTCTGTAATATGGATTTGATGAGAATATCTACTTCTTAAAGCTGTTTTGAGAATGAAGTGAAATCCTGAATGTAAAACACTTACTGTAGTATGGGTATACAGTAAATCCTCAATAATTGTTATTGGAGATACTAAATTACATGTTTATGNGTAGATTGGGATCTGGTGGCAGATATGGACCAAGCAGGTGTTTATACAATTAAAATTTTAAATCACAACCAGTTTGAGCAAACGTAGTGAGATACATTATTCTGATAAATGAATCGTTTATCCAATGTTTGCATGTACACTGTGTCAGGGAGAATTTGGCTCATCATATCAAGATTACAAAGAGAAAGAAACAATGGAAAGATGGCTGCTGTTACTGTCATTGCTGTTTTATCTCCTAACCAGACTCCAGAGAGTAAAAACTGAAGCCTGTTGAGGGGGGCAGATCACAGAAATTATACCACCTCAATAGATTGAAAAAAAAATGGGTAAAGAGTGCCTCCAACAGTCTTCAGATGGGAAAGAGTTAGGAGGTAGACAAGATGTGTAATCTTAGGGAGACAGGTAAGAGGCCTGGACAGGACAGCAAGGCAAGGGAAGAGGTCAGTGTAAGAATCATGGGTGCACCACTCACGGGCCAGGAAACCTGGCAGCTGACGAGCTTCCTACTGTTAGGTGAGGCCCCTTCATCAACAGCTACCTGTAAGTGACCCTAGGCTTCGGTGAGCAGCATGCTGACATTTCCCTTTTTAATGGTCTGGTCCCACCACATTACCATGAAAACAAACAAGAAAATAAATGCAGACAACAAAAACAAAATAAACAGAAAAGGATAAATTGCTTCATACCCAGGGCAGTGGGCCAGCAAAGTGGGCACAGGAGAGCCACACACCTGGTTCTGAGGTGGGACTACACAATGTGGGTGTTCAGTATGTGCCAGGCACTGGGTACCGTACTGCATTTTATACTCATGACAACCCTATGATGTAGGTGTTATTAGTATGAGCCTCATTTAACAATGAAAAAAAAAACATGTTCATAAAAGTGAGGTCATTTGCTAAAGAATTCAAACATAGTGAATGGCAGACTCAAGCTCTGATTCCATAACTGTGCTTTCAACCTCTATGGTATACAAGTAAATCATAAGAGACAGACCCACATTACTCTTGAGAAGTTAACACAGAGAAATTATTAAATTGCAACTTGGGGAGACAAGACGAAGCATGCTGGGATAGGTGGAATCTTTTCTGTCTTCAGGATAAGGATGAGGCCACTAAGGCAGAGACAGGGCATGCCAGTCAACAGATCAGCAAGAACACCAGCTCCAGGGTAGGCCACAGCCGGGAGCCTGGGGCTGCAGAGTGGAGTGCATGAGCATCCAGTGTCGCTGCAGCTGATGCAACCGGTGAGGGAGTTTCAAGTGACAGGGCTCAAGACATGAGGGCCAGGGGTCTAATTTATAGTGTGTTAACTACTGTGGACTTTAAACATTTCAGAATAGATATGAACTGCAGGCTTTTACCCAGGAAAGTCAAACAGATGATGATTAACTGTTTCAAATAAAGTAATATAACTTAAGAGCCATAATAATTAAACTATGATGTTAGGGATTAATATGATTATAAATAGCACATTTTGTATAGACTTTAATTCACCACTGAGCAGTTACATTATTTGATGCTCCCATCCCATCCCTGCCTCCGAAGCGTACTTTCCCACGGCTAGCCTAATACTTGGTACATTATAAGATACACTGATTGGATGAGAGAAAAATACTAAATGTTCAATGTGTTTGAACAGTTGTTCTTTTCAGAAAAGAAACATAAATGGCCATAAACATATGATAATGTGTTTACATGTTAAGAGAAATATAAATACAAACTAAATGTGATGTAGGATCCTCTTCTACCCTATCAGATGGCAAAAGTCAGAAAGATATGCCTTGCTGGTGGCCAGTTTGACAAAAAACTGTCTACATTTAAAACTCATATTTCCTTCAAACCAGTGATTCTACTTCTAAGAATTTGTTCTGCAGGTACACTAAATAGGTGTGAAATAACACATATTCACAAATCTTCATTTAATTATTGGATGATGACGACTCTGTCTGGCCATATGTTCATCCCCTTGCTTTCTGGTTTCCTCTGTTTTTTCTTTTTTTAATTCTCTCATCTTGTTGTAGCAAAGACTTCAGTATATTCCCAGGATAGATAGAATCTATGTATTTTTTATTCTTTACATGCTTTAAAGACCTTTATTCTACTCCCACAATTATATTAATTTGACTGGGTATAGAATTCTAGGTTGTGAATAATTGTCCTTTGTCTTTCAGTTTCCAGAGCCAAAATTGGGAAGCCTAAAGACTTGGAGGTATGTTTCTCTCTTCTAAAAAAGTTTAAAACATTCCACTTTCTTCCTTACATTCTGGGGAAACTTCACAGTGATGTGCTGTGCTGTTTTGTTTTATTATGTTCATTTCATGTGTCAGTATTCAGTGAGCCCTTTCAATCTGAAAACTTTGGTCCCGGGGAATGCTGTCGTGCTGTTTCCTTAACAGATTCCGCCCCTCAGTGATCTCTGTCCGTTCTGCCAGAGCTTTCAGTTGCATAATAAACAACCCGGAATGATTTAATGGTCTCATTTCTTTTTCTTGTTACTAGTAATACCACACTGTTCTAAGCAGGTTACATTTATGAACTCACTTAATTGTCATAACAATACTATAAAGAATATTTACTGCTATCTCTTTGTACAGATAAGGGAACTGAGGAAGGGAGATGGTAGAGAAAGAGCCTAAAGTTGCACAGCTAGTACGTAGAACAGCTACCCTCTTAACCATTTCTCATCTTGGTGGAGAAATTGCTTCAGCTTGCTTTAAAAACCGTCAGCTGATTTTTTTCTATACTATTGCATTAATTTCTAGAAGTTCTCTCCGGTTGTTTCATTGTATCTTTTGTGTAATGACTTGTTCTTTTTTCATATATGCCATATCTTTATTTGTTTTTAAAGTTCATCATAGATTTTGGAATGTCTGCCTCCTGTGAATTACATGTTCTCACTTTTTTCACTTTGTTTTTGCCTCTTTCTTTCACATTAAATTTTCTTCAATTGTCCAGTGATAGTGAGTGAAGCACCAAAGACATAGGGGCAGTTTTGTGTTTAAGGACAAGACTTTTTGACTGATGATCCCCAATCTGGGGTAGCAGTTCCTAACGGTGGCTGCGGGGTGCCTTAAAAAATACTTGTATTTCAGCCTCTCCCAAATATTTTGATTTAATTGATTTGAGGTGAGACACGGTCATGAGACTACTTAAGATCTCCCCCAGGAGATTCCCCTAGGCTGGCAAGATTGAAAATAACTCATCTTGGAGGGACTCAGTATCATCCTGAGCCAGTTATTTTATTCAGGGGAGAAATCTTTACAATCTCCTTGGATTGGAGAATGAGATGAGGCAGAGGACAAGCAAAGCAATAAGAAAAGCTGACTACATCCAAGGAAGGAAGATGGGGAAAGCAGTAAAATTATATTATGTGAATAAATTTATTAAATGTGCTTTTAATATTAAGTCACACCTCTACCCATGAGAGTGTGCCCCAAGTGCAGAAGCCCTGTAATTCCACCTCTCTGGAAAGTAAAATTCAAATCTTCTGCCAGTGGGAAAGATGGGATCACTTGAGTGTGGGGAGTTGGGGAGAGGAATCTGGAGAGTTTAAAACATACCATGAGCCCCAGTTTCAGCCCTGACTTGTACCCTTGCTTGTTTAGGTACCTGATCATTCAAACTTCAGCCTTTCTGTCATTTTTACTTCATTAGAGGAGAATTGTTTGTTTCTATGTTCCCCCCAACCATCTACCAGACAAATAGATTTCTCTTCTGAGTTGAATCAATCACCATGCATCATCTGCTTTCCAGGTTCTAGAAAGCTGACTTCATCTGTCAGCTCATCTCTCTCTGCCATTCTTTTTTCTCAGTGTACTTTTCCTCTTTGATAAAACTTTTAAAGGTTTTAGATGAAATCAAAATACTTAATCATAAATTTCTCTCTCACTGGTTCTAAATTCAACTAAGGTGATTGATGAAGAAATTAACCTAAAAGCCACCAAATAATGTCAAAATATGGAGGAAGAAAGCAAGAGGTCTTGAGAAACCTTGTTCATATTTCACCTTGTTGTTATTTCCTATGTAAGCCACAGGAAAAGATTTTAAGGAGCTATAGTTCCAATAACGTGAGTGCATGGATGCCCGCTGTGCCCTGGGCTAGTAGTTCTTCCAGGTGACAGCACACTATTTTGTGAATCCTCAGTTGAAGATATTTATTTGCCTGTTTGTCCCAACCTCTTACCAACCTGTGTATTTCTCATTTTGTTTGAAATGGCTAATATAGAATATGATACCTAGTGGATGGCAATTAATTTCTGACAGAGAAAAGAAGGAAGGAAGGAGGGGAAATAGGAGAGACTGAAGAGGGAAAGGTGATACCTCTTCTCAGTGACTTATGTGAGATCTAAAGACACCTGAACAAGGGCACCACAGGTGGATTTAACCCACAGTTATTGAGGGTCTGATACATGCACATCACTAGACCATGCACTTTACATGTATTCTCTTTTAAATTGCTTGATAATCCTAATAGGTAGGATTACCATATCATGGAGAAAACTGAGGATCTGAGAGGACAAATAAGATGTCCAAGTGCACAAAGTCAAACTGGGCTTGGAATATACTGATTTTTGTGACCCACCTCCTCAATCCCATCCCCTGAAGATCTGTGCTTATAACACAATGCTACCTCAACTCATGAATAAGGAATAAAACTCAATTTAATATGATTGTCTCTCCTTCATAGGCAGAGTCATCCAGCACATGAAGAATGTGGCCACCATATGGAGATCAGCTTGTGGAAAGGGGATTCGCATCATTTGCAGGTCCATTTGTCCCTCGGTTCATTTTTAATGACACTCACATACAGACCAGATCTACTCAAATATCACAGCTCTGTAGGAACAAACTCTATCCAACCTGAATGCCTTCTACTACAATTTAAACTCATTTATTCTTCCTTTATCCTCAGGAGAAAAGGGAAATATCTCATAATCTTCTTTCTTTTAATAAGACTGCCACACTTTGGAAAAAATTGTAATTTATAGTGTCTCTTACAAAGGAGGAAAGAAAAATCTCACTATAATCAGCCTTGACCAGACTCTTATCATTTATGTATTCATTCTTTATTAGATTTATATAGTATCTTTCCCCTGAAGAGCTCAGGGAGGTTCTTTGCGAGAAGTTTTAAGCAGCAAACATTATTTTGACATAATGAGCCTGGCTCTGTCTCCTGCGGAAGGCAGGCAGATGATCACGAACAAACCAAGCCCGATTTATAAATGCAAAGCGCGGTAGGAAGGAGCAGGACTGCGAGCAGCGTCAGAAGGGCGTTTCCACCAAAAGGCGTTCATGTGACGGAGAAACATCAGCTTTTCATTCCCAAGAAGCTCACCTCTTGCCGTGTGTAAGGAAAGAATGTGGATGGGGAGGTCCCATGGGTGGGAAAAAGCAGTCCTGGATGGGAGAGTGAAGACCACAGAAGTGACGAGGGGTACAGGCGGCTCCTTCTGTAAAGAGTTAAGAGAGGAAGTGAATGTGCGAGGGGAGTCAACTCAATAACCTTCAAAGGGGAACCAGCAAGTAGGGGATCATAGGGGACCCTGAACCTTGAAGTTACCCCTGCCTTTGTCCATGACGTCCATACAGTCGTCCCTAGCCCATCGTGTTCATCGTGTGTCACCAGCACAGCCAGGAACTTTCAGACACGAAGACAAGTCTGAAGAATGAGAGAATCAGGGTTGGCATATGGTGAACACTACCTAAGTCTCTACTCTGACAGATAGGAATATAACAAATGTGTGGGTCCAAAGAATATTTGCAAACAGCTCCATTTTGTGTGTCAATGGCTGTTCTTCTGTGTGGGCCATTTCTTATCCAGTAGGGAATATAGTGAGTGGCAGCTGCTTTATTACTGATTGAAAACTGGTTAATGATGTATGACAGCTTAGCATAACAGAGAGGTGAGTAAATTTGAGGAGGGCCAGGTTGATCAGCAGAGTGATTTAAATGTTAGAAAATAGGATTTAGGATGAGAGGCTAAGGGAATTGGGGTTATTTATCCTGGGGAAGACTTTGGGAGGCTGTTACACAGCAAGCAAAAGCCAGCTGTTCTCCATTTTAAAAGACTAATCCATGTAATGAAATGCAGAGGGTGATGTTAGAATAAATTCACCAAGGGACTGAGGATTTTTTAAATATACATTTATGTTATGACTTTGGGGAACTTTCAAATATAAGTTATAGTAGAGAATTATAGTTGAAATCACAGTGGAAATAGCTATAATTAGGTATTTGGGAATACATATGTGGGCTTAAATCTAATTTTAGTCAAAACACAAAATACACAAACAAACCTCAATACCCTAGTTGTATGTGCAGGCTTCATTTAATAAGTTTGTTGTATACTCCTTATTTCCAAGATAATTATTTTAACTCAGTAAAATTTTCATTCAGATATGATTTGCCATAGGGTTTTTCCAGGGAAATAAACTAATTTGAACTTTATGGGTAAAAGGAATATTGCAAAATAATTAATATCAAAGTTTTACATAATCTTAGTTCAATAGTGAAAGTACTAGGATTTGATGATATGGTATAATCCTTTTACTTTCATCTCACTTTATGTAATTTACTTTACAAAACATGTCAATTGTATCACATTATGGATACATTAAAATAAATTATGACTCAAAAAATATTGTTTTATGAACCTCGTAGAGAATTACTTTGCAACCTAAAAAATAATCTTCATATGGACAATTCTGAAGCCATGTATTCAGTGACTCTTTTAGACTCGAATAGACTTATGCGAGGTACATATATCATAATTTTACTCACAGGATGAATGTTTGCCTTAGTCACTGTCTTTATAGGACTTTTTCTCACTGATGGCTCAGAATTTGGAGAGGGAAAGCATACCTTGTTATACATGTGCTGAAAATATTTAATCTCATATACGGGGTGTGTACTGTGTATAAGCACTGTAGATGCATTGTTTCTATTTCTCACAACTGTTATTAAAGCGAGCACGATTGCAGTGATTTTCCAGGCAGAGAAGCTTACCTTAGATTGCACCACTAGCAGGTGGCATTGCTGACTTCCTATCCAAAGACTCTAGAACATACCCACCACTTTCAAATGTGTTTATGAAAATTAATTGACTACACATAAAAGTCACTGTAATCTGGAAGGCTTAAATATTATATTTTATGAACACAGGGTTCAAATTTTAAACAAAATATTTAGAGCTGGTACAGCACAGTGGCTAAGACTATAAGCTTTGAGATTCAAATATTGGCCCCAAATGTTTGCCATCTCCAAAGTAGCTTCATTTGTCCCCTCTGTAATATGGATTTGATGAGAATATCTACTTCTTAAAGCTGTTTTGAGAATGAAGTGAAATCCTGAATGTAAAACACTTACTGTAGTATGGGTATACAGTAAATCCTCAATAATTGTTATTGGAGATACTAAATTACATGTTTATGTGGATATAAGTCTAATATTCACCTTTAGATAGCAAAACAACAAAATTCTGAGTTTCAAACTAACGTATGCCACTGACATATTATTTTACTATTTCCTTGTTTTGTCTTTCTCATACTTTCCAACTTTGTTGTCAAAATGGAAAATAGTAAAATGGTTGCAGAATCCTGCCCCTTTAACAAGCGTTTTAATTTGGTATGTTAACTTTCTTATGGGAGGCTGCTGTTTAATAATACATTTTCAGGAAAGCATGTCTTTCAGATTAAGTTGTTTACATTTCAAATCAATATGGTAAAATTCAAGTATATTTTCATTATTCACAGCCTTAGTTTCATGCCTTCGAATTATTCCAAAAATTTTCCCTCATCATAGCTAAGTGGTCTTAACAGATACATTAGCGCCATCTTTTGGCAAAAATGACTCATGAGCTTAATTTTTTTTCATAACTGCTCACTCCCAATGGAATCTTGTATATGGTCAATCTGTAATTGATCCAAATGCAAATAAAGTTGAAACAATTACATTATAAATTTTTAAGTGACTTTAATCTTGAAAGAATGAACTGAGCAACTTCTTCACTTCCTACCACAATAACTCAAAAAATAAATAGGAAAGAGATAGTTTAATAATATATTTTGAGGACACAGAACGCTCTTACCTCTCTGTTCTTTTTCTACACTTGCCCAATAATGCCAGATTCATATAAGAGCACTAACTCCCTAATTGCTGCGTCATGTGGGTCTGGACCTTACTGCAGAGTAATCTGAGATCTCTCCTATGTTCTCAGATGATGGCCCACTCAGTACTGACCTGCTTGGCCCAGAATCATTCTGTTCTAAGACTGGATAGGTTCTAGCCATCTGCCTTTCTCCGGGTGTGTGTCATTCTCAGGCTGTTCTGTTGGCCATTTTTCTACTGTGATACTGTGGAGGCCTTTGCTCTTACTATATATACCCTGACTAATATTTTAAAAATCAATATACCAAAAAAATTCTGAATTTATATTTATTCAGTTTCTATGAAGACTCTGAGTTGCAGAGTTTAGTAAGGACACTGTTTCCTGTCCTTTCAAAGAGAAACAGCTAAATGGGAAAAAAAATCCTGTTATACTCTTACTTATACATGTGTTTGCATCTAATGAACTATATTAAAGATGATTTGTTCACTAGAAATAATTAAGAACTTTAAATTTATTATTTTAAATGCTGAGAGATTATAGATAATGTATGGTCCATCATTTCCAGTAGTACAGAATTTTCCAAAATCTTGAAATTTATGTGTGAATTTTTAATTAATGGGAAAGAGAGCCAGCCATATCAGGTACTAAATATAACTTCACTTTTATCATAACAAGAAAAAATTGAAAAATTTATTGGGAAAATAAGACATAGCTCAATCCATTGTTCCTAAGAGTGTGTATTTAACATAGTGCAATGATATTAATAGAACACTACAAAGGAGTAACAAATTCATACTACTTCAAAATGGCATACTCGTAAGTAAAAATAATGTACTTACCAGAAGACAGTTGGATAACAAATTGCCTTAGGTCAAGTTCTCTGGCTCCATCCTAAGATGGAGATATGCGTGCAGCAACCTTGTTAGGTAGTGCTCGATACAAAAACCCCGAGCAAATGGGGAAGATGAGGCGGAGACTGAACTGCGATGCTGATCAGCAGAGGTGGAAGCCAATCCTTTGGGGACCTCTGGAGCAGGGATGGCTCCTCGAAGATGTCCCAGATTTAGGCAGTGCACCTTTGTCCCAGTCATCAGATGTGGGTTACCTGCAAGGAAAAGATATAGCCTTGTGCAAGGCAGCTCGTCTTGGCAATTCCCGGATGTCAACAGTGAGCACTCCCAGCAGCTGGTGAATGAGCGCCTCTACTGCCAAGGGGCAAGCTGGGTGGTACGCTTCAATACCCACTGCACTGCTGTAGTTAGATAAGGGAGAATTCCTACTGCTGGTATTTTTAGTCCTAATTTTAGCCTTCTTCACTAACTTGATATATCTAGTCCATCCTTTTACTCAAATTCTATTTAATGCAGAAATTATTAAACTTACAGTGAAATCTAAGATAAGAATGACAGACTCTTAGCTCACAGTGACATATCAGATACCATGTTCTGAATAGAACAATCACTACATTTTTTGGATAAATTCTTCTGGCACTACTTTCAGTGCCAACCTTTTAGCATCTTGGTTTCCAGATGATGTACCAAGACACTCTGGGGCACTGCAGCAAACTCGCTGGAGAATCCTGGAATATTTAACTTTCTGAGGAAGCATAACAGTGTCAGGCAGCCTGTGAAACGGGGTTCACAGTGTTAACAGATCACGCTGTATTTTTTTTGATGATGAAGTTTTGTAGAGGTGTAGCCTGGGTGAAATCTACTAACATCAAAATTAATCATGGAACAAGAAATAAACATGACAAGGTCCAATTCAAGCACAAGGTTTGAGAAACTGTCACACCCAGTAAGAAGCACACATTTGGCTAATAAGTAATTGTGGCTAAGAAAGAAAAGTGAAATACTGTTTTTCAATGTAAACATATTACTTTTTTAAGAGACTAATGAGTTGTTAAGACAAATATGCATGAACACCTATGGGAGCTATAAAAAAATTACTGAGTCACTAGTGGTGTCATGAACCAAGAAAGTGTGAGAACTGGGTTAGCATGTGATCATGGTTGAGAGAAGGATTTCCACGTAGAAGAAGCTGCATGTGCAACAGCCCTGTGTCTAATATAAGAAGACCCTAGTATGGATGTGATGGACTGGCACAAAATGATGAGGTGGAGGAGAGCAGGCCAGATCTGATACCTGTTATAGACCTATTAACTTGGTATTATTCCTTGAAGGCAATAACAAGGGTTTTAATAGAGGAGAGGCAAATGGTCAGAGTTGCATTCTAAAAAGATGGTTCTAGCATCTATCAATAAGAGTACGGTAATTTATAAATATTTGAGACAGTTTAGTGACTCAGGGGAGATATAATATATACCTAAACCAACACAAGTTTAGTTAGAATAGAAAGGCCAGGTTTTAGATATATAATTAAGAGAGACTGGCCATCAATTGAATGCAAGATGTAAAGATAGAAATTCAAGAATGACTACTTGACTTTTGGCTTGTACCACTTGAAGATCAGTCTGTACCCCCAAAATGAGGAAAGCAGTGGAGGAGCATATTTTCGCAATGTTCAGTTTTGCTTTGGCACATGGAACATTTAAAGAGACCTGAAAATAGAGCTGCCCACATGGATCTAGAGGCCCCCGTAAGACCAAAGAAGTGAATTTTATGCCATTAAAGTGGAAGATATTATCCTTCTACTTTAGAGGTACATGGAGTGAGAAAAGAAGAGTCTATGACCCCTGGGACTACCTTCAGCTGGAAAAAAAGAAACCCGGAATAAAGGACACCGTTTCGTGCTGGGTACAGCACTATCAGAAAGCCAAGCACCTCGTTTTCTCGCTCTCCTTCCTCAAGGTCAACTCAAGTTCCAAGACGCAGCTGGAGCTCCAATAACCTGTTCGGGCAGGAGGAAGAGGGCATGCCCGCTCTCTTTTAAAGAGAGAGCTGTGCCTCACAGGACATTTCTTTCATGGACCAGCAGCTAGAAGTCACTCAGATGTGAAGTCACGAATTCATCCAAGTATGCCAGAATTTTCCCAGTCTTACTACAGAAAGTCTCTCGGCCCTGAAAGCCCCTCCGAACCAGCCAAACAGGAACAGCTGGTCACCCAGTCACATGATCACATCCTGACGCAGGAGAGGACGGAACTCTTTAGCTGTTGAACAATGGACTCAGTTTAAAACAGGTTCTGTTGGTCAGGAGGAAGGAAAAATGGATGCACAGATAACATGGGAATGCAACAGGCACAGGTAAGCAACGAGCAATGTCTCCTTTATTTGTTACAGCCCGTGATCAAGACTTTGGCACATCAACCTAAGGGATGAATGGAGAAAGAGAAGGTCATTAAGGAGACTGAAAAAGGACTGTTGGAAATGGAGAAAAACAATAGCAACTGAAGAACAGTATAAGGAAAGAGTAAATGTCAAGAGGAAGGTTTCCCTATATAATCAAATACTGCAGATAAGGCCTAAAAAGTATTCCCAGTTGAGTTATAGCTAAAAATTAATGCAGCCATGGGTCAGGGTAGGGGGTGGGGGTGGGTATCTAGGAAGAGAAAGGTCGCCAAAAACTGGAAAGAAACAGAAGAGGGTATGGGCAAGTGGAAACAAACCACACTTACCTCAAAACTTGAGCAACATTAATGCTCCATCTCAGGCCGATCCTGAGAACAGATGTTGCTTCAGTTTTTTCCCCAGCTTTTTTAGATACAATTGACATGTAATATTGTGTAATTTTAAGGTGTAAAAGGGAAATGACTACCACAATTAGCTTAGCAAATACAGTGAAATGACTACCACAATAATGTTGGTTAACACATCCGCCACCTCACATAGTTACATTTTGTGTGCGTGTGGTGAAAGTGTACTCTCTTAGCGATTTTCAAATATACAGTACAGGGTTAGCTCTGGTCACCACTAGGCCACCAGAACTTATTTACTGCACAACTGGACATTTGCAACCTTTGACCACCTTCCTCTAATGAGACATCACTTCATGCCTGTCAGAATGACTGTTACAAAAAAACAATAGATAACAAGTGCTGACCAAGACATGGAGAAATAAGAGCCTTTGTGCACTGTTGGTGGGATTGTACATTGGTACAGACACTATGGAAAAGAGTATGCAAATCAAAATTTCTAAAATAATTGAAAATAGCACACCATGTGATCCAGCAATTCCACTTGTGGGTATGTATCTAAGAGAAATTAAATCAGGATCCTGAAGAGAGACCTACCTACACCCTCATGTTCATTGCAGCCTCATTCATAATACCCAAGACATGGAGGCAACCCAGGCACTTGGTAGTTATCCAGGGCTAGTGCCTCAGTCCCTTCAGAGAACACAGTTGCTTTGCCTCAGAAACATTATTTCCTCTGACAGAGAGCGTCTTGTAACTTAGGCACTCTCCTGTCTGTATCTTTCTGCCTGGCAACCTTACAAAATACTTTATGCATGCTTGTGGTAGGCGCTGCCTGCTGTCAACATATGCCCGGTGGAAAGAAAAGCTTCAGGGGGTTAATTCTCCAGCTCTCCTGTCTATAATCACAAGATTCTTGACATGATGTAAAGAGGTTATGGTTTTTGATGGCAAGTTAAACATAACTTCATTGTAAAGCGCAGGTTCCCAACCTCCTATTTATTCCCAGCTTGCTCACCCACGTACTTCAGCACCAAATGTTTATCTTAGCAGGATTTTAGGTTCCAGATTTCTCCTTATGTACCGACTTCTTGCTGCCTTCATTTTCTTTTTCCTGTCCCGTTTAGATTTCATGGTCCATCGCCTCCACCAAACCTTTTTTCCAGTTTGCTTCCTTTCCCTATTCTCCTTCTCTGGAAAATCCCAACCTTGATCAGTCTCGCTCTCCCGCTTCCCCATCTGAGCAAAACAGCATCTGAGCGCTGCTGAAGAAACTCACACGAAACCCCTTCTCAGCTCTCTCACCCGTCCTTCACAGAAAGCTGCTCTATTTTCAAAAACCAGACTACTTTCTTCTGTCACCTGCACTTTAAACTCAGCAGACAATCTCACCTTCCACCTCAAGAATCAAAGCAAAGCCATCGGACGGGAACTACTTCAATCCTGACACAGCTACAAAATCCTCGTGTCGTAATGAAGGAGATGACTCTCCTTCCTCCCCATGTGTGCCCTGGACTCTGTCTTGTTTGCCCTACTTTCTTGTAATATTGTCAACTGCCGTGTCCTTTACTCCTGGTTATTTTTCCCTTCTTTTCATTGGTACCTTCCCAGGCATAAGCCAGTAAAACTCTCTCAGAATTAAAAAAAAAAAAATCTTCTTGACTTTTTTGTTCCAGCTCTCTCTTTACAATCAGTTATTTTGAATAAGTCGTTTATTCTCACTACCTCCATTTATAATTCCCCATCTGTAAATTTTGCAACTTACTCCAATCTGCATTCTGTCCCTATTACTTCACAGAAATGCATTTCAGTGAAGTCATCAGTACTCATCATGCTGCTGCAGCCAGTGAACTGGTGTCACACCCTTTTGTCTTGGACTGTGAGTGAGGACGTGCAGTGCTCAAAAGAGCGCCTGAGTTCACATCATGGCTTTGCCACTCTCTAGTTGTGTGACCCTGGGGAAGTCCATTGGTGATCTACTTTTATACATAAAATAGAGTACAATAGGTAACTTACCTAACAGAACTGATTTGACAAGTAAATGAGGTAAGTGATACTTAGGACAACATACAGCACAAAATTTATATTGAATAAATATTAATTTTGGTCATGATTATTTTTGTCTGCCCCTTTTATGGGAGACAGTTTTCCAAGGATTTCTCACATTTTGCACACCTTGAGAGGAAAGGCACTGACAGCTTTTTTTATACATAGTATCTTTTTAGAAGTTAGAGACTTCCTTTAGAGAAGGTTTATTTGCTGCCCAGTATAATGAAGATAATCTCTCCCTCAAGCAAAATTGGGCAATTTTGCTTACAATCAGTGCTAAAAAAATTGGTGTTTCCTGAGCTCAGAGATACACAGCTGTGATGCAAACTCATATGTGTGCAGTGTCCACCTCGGCCCACCCTTCACTGGCCCCAAGGAACTGGGGGGCAAGGGAAACATTTGCAAACATGAAGTTCATGTTGTCTGCTCAGTCATGGACAGTAAAGTCCTTTAACTCTGACTCAAGAGTTTCTTGTCTTCATCAGTATCCCTGATATTGTGGCAGACCGCTTGTTAGCTTAGCAAATACAGTAAAATCTCAGGCCGTTCACAGTTCTTGGCACTCTGACACAGCCCCGCTTTGGAAACTTCAGAACATCTTCCTGAAACTCACTGCCCTCATCATTCATTAAGCTGCATGGCTGACTCCTCCTGTGACCCCTTCTTATTCTTTTTGCTTCTTACGCCTAAAGTAATCATGGGTATTGTTGGTGTTCCTTGGAATTCTGTCTCTCTTTACTCCTCCACCTGAATCTTTCCATACCTGTCTGAAATATTCTTCTCTCCCTCCACGGTTTCAGTTAGCATTTCATTGATAACGACTCTAAATCTATATCGATATTCCAGACCTTTCTGCCAATCGCCAAAACATCTGTCTGATTAGTTGCTAGACACTTTCATTTGAATTACTCTTTGGTGCCTACAACCTAGCAAAATGAAAATTGAATTTGTCTTTGTCTCTTGAACATTTGCTCCTGCTTTAGTTTCAGTAATGGAGCTATCTCCCACGACTGTTTCTCAGAGTACAATACAGGTGCCCTCCCACTCATTTACCCACACTGTCAATCAATAGTTTGTCAATCAAACTCCTATTCTGGAAGGGTTCAGTGTGCTGAGCAATCCTGGCCATACAGATGTATGTCCTATACCCAAAATATTTTAGGGGTTCAATGTCAAATATATGAGTGTTAAGTAATGTAGATAATATTATTTTTTAAAGTAGAGGGAAGGTCCGTCTGCCTCTAGGTATGATGGAACAGATGCTACCAGACTAATTCATCCACCAAAACAAAACAAAATAAGATGAATAAAACAAAAACAGCTGTTTGGTGACATCAGAGAATAGTAAGAGACCACGTGAGTAGTCATATTTCCAGAACAAAGGGAAATTCATAGAGTGGAGTCAGATGTTCTCCAGGGCTTTTGTCCATAGAGGCACATGTTAGTTTGAAGTACTGGTCGTACGAACATGCCAGAAAGGAGTTGCCTACAGTTTGGAACCTTCACTGGCCTGAGGGAGGAAAAATGAACTAAGGGCTGAAAGCAGACAAAACCTGAAAACTCAAGGTGCCAGAGAAAAAGAGAACCACAAGTAGGTGAAGCCAGCTATCTACGTGAAATTGCTCCTACGAAATCTGTCAGTTCCTACATTTCACATATACAAGGGCAGCTGCCAAGTAACCAAACATAAAGCAACTTTATGAAATCAAAAACTCAGGTAGAAATATCAGCAGTTTCCCAGTACTGGATACGGAGTTCAAGACCCAGTAAAGAAGAAGAGCCATAACAGGCATCTTACGCATTCAGTTAAAATCCAGGAAGAGCTAAACCCTAAGAAGAAGACAAACCCAAAAAGGAACTTGAGTCCATTAAAGGTGATCTGCCTTCTATTTGCCTGACAAGAAAAAATCAAACCCTTTCCAGGGGAGGAGAGTGTTACCTGAAGATTCTAGAATTATCAGTATATCACTATTTAACTGAGAATTGTCAAGAATATCAAGAAGTAGGATAATGGTCACACATTAGGAAACTAAAGAGACAAGGTACACAGACCCACAGGTAATCCAGACAGTGAGGCTATCAGACATGGACTTTAAAACCATATAACATGCTTAGGCAAACAGAAGAAGAGAAAAGAATGGACAGAAGCAAAATTAGGAGAAACTACCTGAAAAAAATTATAAAACTGATGAAAGACAACTAGCCTTCTAAAAACAGATTTAAGAAGTTATAGGAACCTCAAACAGGATTCTAAGAAAACCACACTTCTCAAAAAAAAAATGGGCAAATGTTCAAATAAACACTTCACAAAGGAGTACAACAAATGGCCAATAGGCACTTGACCATGGTCAGCAAAGGCTGGCATGGTGTGTCCATGTTTGCCTCTCATATCTTATTTCCTATACTCTCTGCCTCAACAGGATCCTTATTTCCATTCTTGCTACAAATCCAAAAGGTCCAAGCCCAACCGATGTGCTTCTCCCATTCTTTGGAATATGCTACCCCACATCTTCATGTGATTAACCCCTTCTCATCATTTATAATCAGCTCCAAATTTCCTGAACAAATTAGACTCTTCCGCCAGTCTCCCTGTCATGAAACAATATTTAATTTCCTTATAGCACTTCCACTATTCAATA